AAAATCTCTCTCCTTTCCAGGTAGTTTTGCTACCTGGACAATACCTCTCTGATACTTTAATGGGAATAAATTGTGCTTCTTCCTGGTATGACTGAGTGCCTTGATTATATCTGTTTTTTGTATCCTTAGCACAGTGTGGTACAATGTGACATACACACTAGGTACTCCATGAATGCTTGATGAATTATTTAATAAGTCGTGGCCTTTGAGTACTTCTTAGCTTGAAGTGAGACCTTAATAGACATATCAAATTTTCTAGAATGACTATATATGGGGGGACCCCAACAGTACCCTTAGGCTCAATGATTTGCTAGGACTTAGCATGCAGTTTGTGCTCATGGCTAAGATTTACTGCAGTGCAAGTATGCATATGCAGGGCTCAGTCAGCAATGGGAAAGGTGCATGGGACAAGAAACTGGGCACAAGGTTTCTACAGTTTTCTCCCGGGAAATCACACAGGTTGCACTTCATTGTGACAAGTGAGGAATGAATGGCATCAGCCAGGGAGGCTCATTGCAGACTCAGTACCCACGGTTCTTATTGGGGCTGGTCATGTAGGCACCTGCAGTGTGGCACATGCCAAAATTCCAGACTCTAGTAGGAGTTCGACATGAACCGTGTGGTTTGCACAGTTGAGAGACATGAACCATTTTTATCTGGGGGTGGTGGGGAACCTTCATGAAATCCAAGTTCTCAGGTGCCAGCTCAGGTCCAACCTTATAACCTTTCTAAAGATAGCAGCCGCAAACCTGTTAATGCTTATTGTACAAAATACAGTTCAAGTGTAAGGCACTTTATTCACTTATGCAGGTATAACTAAAGATGATTTTCAAAAATTTTAGCTACTTAGTAGTACAGGTCATATGTGTAGAATATGTGATAAATGTAATTCAGTAGAATTGTGTCGTCGTCATTTGCATGGTTTATTCTACAGCCAAACCTTGTCATCTTGTTTTGTCTTGACTTTACTGTAGGATGTTCATACCGAGCATCCACTGTATTTACCATTTTAATGGACTCATAGCCCTTTCAGGTGATAGTGTTCTCAGATGCTATGAGGACAGAAAAATGCATAATGGAGCCACAGTCTTCTGGCTCGTTTTTTGTTTTTGTTGTTCTAAGACAGGGTCTTATATACAGTTTAAGATGGCTTTGGTCTCACTATGTACCTCAGGCTGGCCTCAAACTCTCAGGGTTCCTCCTGCCTCACTCAGCCTCCTGAGTGCTGGGCTTACAGGTGTGTGCCACCACACCTGGCTTTTTTAAAAAAATAGACATTCAAAAGAGCACTTCTAGGTCTAAGGCCAAATTGCCCACGTGCCCTGTTCCCCACACAAAAGCAGCTTCACTCTCTACCAAAATCCATGATAGACCTAGTTGGGCACGGTGACACATGTCTGTAATCCTAGTGCTTGGAGGCTGAGGCAGGAGAATTGGGAGTTGGAGGCCAGGTTGGGCTACACAACAAGTTTGAGCCAATCTGGACTATGGAACAGGACTCTGTCTTAAAAAAAAAAATTGAGGAAACTACATTGACATGTCATCCTAAACTCTACAGTTTGTGTAAGGGTTCACTCTTGGCATTGTATATTCCATGGATTTTGACAAATACATAATGACATATAACTACCATGATAATATACAGAATTGTTTTCACTTCCCTAAAACCCCTTTGTGCTCTGCCTGTTCTGTCCTAACTTTTTTGGGGGGCGGGGGTGCATGAACTTCAGTTCTGTTTATTCAGGTGTCATCTTGAATAAATTACTAAATTATCTTCAACTTATTTATTTTTGGTTTTTTGGAGACAGGGTCTCGCTGTGTGGTTCAGACTTGTCTTGAACTCACTGTGTAGCTCACTCAGGCTGACCTTGAAATTGTGATCCTCCTGCCTCAGCCTCCCAAATGGGTGATTACAGGCTGCAACCAGGCTCAGCATATGAATACTTATTTTAGGAGGTTTAAAGATGAAAAATTGCATTCATTACAATTTAAGTCCCCCTCCCCCTGCCCTGCTGGGGATCAAACCCAGGGCCTTGTGCATGCTAGCTAGGCAACCACTTTACCACTGAGGCACACTGCCAACCCACTTAAGATTCTTGATAAGTTGGGCCGGGGATTTAGCTCAGTGGTTTCGCTGCCTGCTGTGCAAGCGCAAGGACCCGAGTTCGATCCCCATATCAAAAAAAAAAAAGATTCTTGGTAAGTAAATTAAGGGGACATTTTTGTATTAAGAGTTAAGGTCAGAAAGTCATCTTCCAAGACTCAAGAGTTGCTGACCTTACATAGAAAGGATTTCATGTCTACTCTTAGGGGAGAACATTTGACACTAATATCTGATTCCTTAGCAGCTGGGATTTGGGAAGTTCTGGGTTTTTTTTTTTTGGTGCTGGGCATCAAACTCGGGTCCTTGCGCTGTGCTTGTGCAGCAGGCTGTGAAACCACTGAGCTAAATCCCTGGCCCTGGGGAGTTCTGCTTTTGAAACTTGGTGAGAAGTAGATTTTTAATCCTTTTTTACTAAACCTTTTTTTTTTTTTTTCTTTTACTAATTCTTTAATAGCGCTTCTGTCACTAATAGAAATTTGAACTTGAACCAGTAGGAGTTTGAACTTCTGAGTTAAGGTTTTAAAAGAAACTGATGTCAGGGGCCGGGGATTTAGCTCAGTGGTTCTGGCACCTGCCTCCCAAGTGCAAGGTCCCAAGTTCGATCCCCAGTACCAAAAAAAAAAAACCAGGAAACTAATGTCAGGCCTGGTTGTATGTGCCCAGCTACTTGGGAGGCTGAGGCTGAAGGACTAAAAGTTTTGAAGCAAGACCTTGTCTCAAAATTTTAAAAAGTGCTGGAGATGTATGTAGCCCCACATTTCCTGGGTTCAGTCCCCCATTTGGCAAACAAAAAACATTGACGTTTTTCTTGAGCAAACTTTTTAGAGCTAAAAGTTTTTCCCTCTAACTTAGTTTGTCACTGGCAGAGAATACCCCAGTATGTTCCAAATGTGGTTGAGTTACTCTATCTAAAGGTGGTATTGGTGTTTCTTAATCTCCAAGTTGCAGTTTGTCTGGGGCAACTAGACAAATTTTACGTAAGTACTAATCGCTGCCTGGCGGCTCTGGAGTCAAACCTCTTTGCAGTGAGAGGAGACCTAACAGTATCACGGGCTGGTGAGGTCACTTGCACTTTAAATAGCTCCTGGCTCCTGAAACAAGGACAGCATGATTTAGGGGAAAGGCCAGAACTTGATCTCCACAGCCTCAGGCACTCGAGCATCTCTGGGCATCAGAAATGGGCCTAAGAGGAGACCAGAGGCAGGCGCAGTGACACTGAGCTAAATCCCCAGCCCTGCATATATATTTTTTAATCCCCCCCCCCATTTTCTTGGTCAACCCTGCCCCCGGCTTTTCTTTTTAGAAAATCCTTTATCTCTGCTACATAGGTGCTATGGTTGATCTTTGCCAGGAACTCAGGACATAAAGGAGAGAGAACCAGGTTACCTAGAAGAGTAGAGCAGTAAGAGTTCAGAGAATATGAGTATTCACTTGAGTTTTGACAGTCCTGTAAGTATTTAGCAGGCAGGAATACTACTGGAAGATATTTTAGGAAGGCTGAAGAACATGTGAATGGATGAAGTATGGTGTTTTTACAGTGGACTTGTTGGGACCAGAGCATAGCCATGTGTGAACATGAGTCTGGGGAAGTATGTGGTCTGTAGGGCTTGTAACATAGGGAGTGGTCTAGGATTTCCACTTGTGCTTTAGCTGTTGGTTCAGTATACAAAAGTTTAAGCACAATAGAAGCTGTAGTTGACCAAATAATGGTATATGACCTCAGTGGGAATGAAAGAATTCTATCCTTGTTGAGTAGTCAGTTTCCTTTGCAGTGCTGAGGATTGAACTTGGGGCTTCATACCTGACAGGCAAATGCTCTACCACTGAGGTGCATCCCCAGCCCCAGCCATCAGTTTCAGTGGTTGTCAGACATTTATATGTGTATCACAGACATATGGCTGTGTATCACATAAATCTAGTGTTGGTGACTTAATGTCTTGATAAACAGTTGTTTGGTAGTCAGAGCACACTTGTTTGATGTTGCTTTAGTTTCCTCAAGGTGTGACTGATCTTGAGTGGTGAAGACAGAAACTTTTAAAAATGCCTGCTGACAGCAGGGATTTAGCTCAGTGGTTCCAACGCCTGTCTCGAAAGTGCAGGGTCCCGAGTTCGATCTCCGGTACCAAAAAACAAACAGTCAAACAAACAAAAATGCCTGCTGAAAAACCATTTATTCCTGCCAGCTACCCCAGCCCCAGAAGTCCTTGCTCATCTCTCCCTGCTTTTGTATTGCTAATTGTAGTCTGTCAGATACAGCCACAAATATGTTTCCCCAAGTTGTTGAAATACAGTGGTCAGACAAAAATCCCATGTCCCCAGTTTTGACTTCCTTTCTGAGGTTTGTCTTAACCTCATCCGGTCTCATCATACAAACAGAAACTTCATCAGAAGTCAGCCTGAAGTTGCCTTTTAGTATATTCTCACCCAGAAGGATAGGCCTATGGTGGAGAGGGTAAGGTTAGGAAGATGCCCTCATTTGTTTTGTTTTCCTAAAAACTTGCTGAGGTATCGAAACCGTCTCTACTTAAAGTTCCTAGGATTAGTTGGTATATATGTAATGTTACACGAGCAGTCTGTTAGTCTTTTGCAATTTAGATGAAATTTGACTTGTCATCTAAGACCTAGACTTGACAGTTCTTTCATAGAACAGCATGTGCTAAGCTGTTCTCTTGGGAGGAACCATCGATCCAGCTGCACTTTCGCCTTCTTTGTTGCTTGTTCCACCTTCATGTGCCTTACCTCCATCTACACAGCACAACCTCTGTAAATCACTTGGATCAATGGATAGATCGGTTGTGTCTCAGAGGCATGAAGATATGATTGACGCAGTTGATAAAGTCTATACCTTAACAGCTTTTTTTTTTTTAACAGCTCTTTATTCATTTTCTCCTAACAGGTGACAGAGCTGAATGAGCCACTCTCCAATGAAGAACGAAACCTCCTGTCTGTGGCCTATAAGAATGTGGTTGGGGCACGTCGTTCTTCCTGGAGGGTCATCAGCAGCATTGAGCAGAAGACGTCGGCAGATGGCAACGAAAAGAAGATAGAGATGGTTCGTGCATACCGTGAAAAAATCGAAAAGGAGCTGGAGGCAGTGTGTCAGGATGTGCTGAGCCTGCTGGATAACTACTTGATCAAGAATTGCAGCGAGACCCAGTACGAGAGCAAAGTGTTTTACCTGAAGATGAAGGGGGACTATTACCGCTACCTGGCTGAAGTGGCCACTGGAGAGAAGAGGGCGACTGTCGTGGAGTCGTCTGAAAAGGCCTATAGCGAAGCCCATGAGATCAGCAAGGAGCACATGCAGCCTACCCACCCCATCCGACTGGGCCTGGCTCTTAACTACTCCGTTTTCTACTATGAGATCCAGAACGCCCCAGAGCAAGCATGCCACTTGGCCAAGACCGCCTTCGATGATGCCATCGCCGAGCTCGACACTCTGAACGAGGACTCCTACAAGGACTCCACTCTCATCATGCAGCTCCTCCGCGACAACCTAACACTCTGGACAAGCGATCAGCAAGACGACGAGGGTGGAGAAGGCAACAATTAAGGCCCCCAGGTGGACTGGCAGCGCACGCTGATGCTACTACTGCAGTCTTTATTTTTTTCCCATGAGTTGGGGTCGGGTGGGGGAGGGAAAGGGAGGGCTGACCTTCCCAGGGAGAAACCCACGACCTGTCCTGTCTTTGATTGCCTCTTTGACATTTTTGCCAAAATACCACTAGTGGAAAGTCAGGCTAGCTGTGCTGGTATTGGAGTAGCAGCCTCACACGGGCATACGGACTGTTCTGTAGGTTCATGTAAGTGGAGCTTTGTCTTTAATTTAACTTATTGCTAGATGATAGGCATTTAAGATGAAAAGACGTAAATGGAATGGCCCTCATTCAGTGAGTTCTGTGGTTCCAGTAAGGATTTTTATGTACATACGCTCCTGTCTTAAGTTTTGGGTACTCTTCTCTCTCCTCTGTTTTAGCTGTGCATTTCTTTCAGGGTGTGCTCTACCAGACACGGCATAGTTTAAATCCCAACAGGCAGACTTGAAGCATAAGGTGTACTCACCCTTGTGGTTTAGGCCTGGCCAGTTTTTTGAAGTCTGATTAGTGACAGTATTAACACTAAATTGCAGTTTACAGTATTTCTACATTACAGCCATATGTGACATCAAGCCATTGATTGTGAGTTTTCCTTTGCTAGTTATTTTGGCTTTCCATCCTTACTCAGCTGTATCCAGGTTGGTTTTGCTTTTTATTTGTCTCCTAGGCTAAAAGATTTGCCTGAGGAGAATCAAAGCTTCTTTAGGTTTTGGTTAATAGGTGCTTGGCAGGTGGCTGTGGGATTTTTTTGTCTTTCTTTCCTCTTAATGTAAACCCACCACAAAAGTTACTAATCATTTTAATAGAAATGTTAAACACCACAAAATAGAGAAAATTCAGGTCTGTATGTCATTTATCTCATGTTGGTGTCTCTGAAGACTCCTGCTTTCTCAGCTGCCACAACCCCTTCCTCAGGGATCACACTGCCATCTGTTTCCCTCTGCACTGAGCCTTCCCTGCTGCGCTTGTGGCAGGGCCTGCAGGAGGGCTCGGCAGGCTGTCGGATTGGAGAGGCTGGGTGGTCGTCTGGAGAAAGTTGATGCAGTGCGAGAAGTCAGGTGCTAGACGCTGAGCTGGTAGGAAACCCAAAAGGAAGAGCTCCGTTCACAGACATCTTTCCATTTTTAGGAGCCTCATAAGTGTGTTAGGTTTTCCTCCTGAAACACTCCTTTCCCAAGTTCTATAGGAGGATAACTAAAATCATTACCAGGTTGTGAATATGTAATTTCTGTTTGACCAAAACTTTTCCTCTGTTTTCTTCTTTTCAGTGAAAGCATAGAAGTTGGAAATTCATTTCTCTTGTGCAGTCAGTGCACAGTTTTCATCTGAAGGAAACTACATTGCTATTTCTGCAGGCTTGTTTTCAGTTAGCCGTAGGTTCCTCATTCTCATTTTGGATAAATCTATCTGTAAACATGACCCATGGCATGTTTTATGTACAGTTTTACTCTCTTAGTGTTTTTTTAAATTAAATAAAATCAGTAACCATGTGGACTCCCAAGATGGGTAACAACACCAGACTTGCTTTGTTTGTTTCTTTGTTTTATGTAGGCAAAGAGAGGTGTGAGTAATAATTGAGGAAAACCCAGCAGATGCTTTTGTAATACTGAAATGAAGCTTACAATTATGAATATGTTTAACAGAATACAGGTGACAGTGATGATAGAGGAGTGATGACAACTATAGACTCCATATACTCTAACATCACACAGTTTACCCAGCATGACTTTCCTTAGAGGCCCCCTCCTCACACTAGAGCGAAAGTCCCAGTCACCCGGAGCCTCCCAGAAGGACTCAGTGGAGAGAGCTTTGCTGCTTTGTGCCGTTACAGTAGGAGCCTGGCGTGTGGCTGTGGAGGGGGCAGTGGGCTTCCCCTGATTTCTCTTCATGTCCAGTGAACAGTGTCGTGTTCTTCCTTGTAACATTTGAAAATGATTTACTGGAATTACAAAACCTATTTTTCCTTTAAATTTCAGCTTTGGCTCTGGCTGCTTTTTAGAATAATGCAAGATAAAATCATATGAGAGGACTAGAACTGAAGAGGGAACGGGAGACTTGGTATTTAAGCAGCTTGAATGGTTTCCTTTCTTTTCTTTATTTTTAAAGAAATGCACTTGCCTATGATACTGTCTCTCCAGTGAAATGATTACTCCTCCATTACTCTATTGATACAATATTGTGCATGCTAGTGTTGTATTTCTATACAGTAGCTTGAAATTTATTAACTTATACTGTAGGTGTTATGTATTCCTATGACAAAAAAAAATTAAGTCTTCAAATTTTTAAAAGTTTTTTAATTTAATTTTTCCTTTTGGGAGTAAAGTTTGCTCTACCAAATAGTGATTGTAACAAACTGATCTGTTTTGGATGTTGCTATAGTGACATGCAGTTATATATTTTGTTTTTAAGGGGGGGGGTACAAAAGAAACACCAGTGTTAGCTTAACCTCAATGTCTGGTGTTTGTCATGGTGAAATTATAACTATTACAGTGTAGGAGAACATTGACTATGTTCTCTGAATGAGCCCTTGTGCTTTTTGTCATGTTATGCAGTGAACTATTTTTAAGGTCTAATCAGTGATTATTTTTCCAACTCCGTGTTTCTCTAAAGAATTATTTCGCACACGGACCATTCTTAGCAGTTTTCCTCAGTGATGGAATATCATGAATGTGAGTCATTATGTAGCTGTCGTACATTGAGCAAATAAACTTACAGATCTGATGTCAGTGCTGCTTAGTTTCACTTAATGAGTTGAATTTGTCCCTTGTGTGTGAAGGTCTGATTGGGTATGGGTGTTCTCACCTCCTTCTCCTGCCAAGGAATGAGGTTGGAGAGGGTGTGGGGCCAGACGTTGTGTGCTGTAAAGTGACTATATCTGGGAAGCAGACCTGAAAACCAAAGGCTCGGAGTGTGCTCAGTGGAAGAGCACTTGTCTAGCACACGTGAGATCCTGGGTTTGACCCCTGTACCACACAAGTCAGAAAGACAGCAGTGCACCTTTTGGGTTTCCCATTCTTTTAAGAAATTAGCTGTTCAGCTAGATTTCTGAGGACAGTTCTGGGACCTACCTGATGATGAGAAACAGACCTGAGTTTCATGGCTCCCGAGCTCTACAGCCTTGTGTTGCTGGTGCTGCTGACCGCAGCAATCTCAAAAGGTATCCATAGGGTGGTTGGGGGCAATGAGTCATGGCTGTAGGGCAGGGGTTGACCACAGGAAAGAATGCCAGGGTAAATAAAGCCTTTCTTCCTGTCAGCAGGTGTGTGTGTCCCCAGAAGGGGATGCTGAGGGCTCACACAGTGGCAGAAGACAGCTTTTTAATTTCTCAAGCAGTTGTAGCTTGCTCTTGAGGCGTGATGACGCCCGGCCTGTGAACAGGCTTGCTCTGTACTGATGAAGTCACCTGTGTTCACTCTCATTCAGACCACCCTGAGAGTGAAGGGTGGCTGCAGAACTGGCCATGACTGATGGGCCCAAGGCCCCACTACTGACTAATTACCTGACTGTTCCCTTCCTGGGTCAGTGTGCTGACCCCAGGCCCCCTCTGCCCTGCTAGGAACCACTCTCCACACATATTGGTGGAGCGGAGCTCTCTTGGGGGAGTCACTGAGGGCAGAAATGAACCGAGTGTCCCACAGCAGAAAAGTACAGCTGTAGACACAGTCAGAACAGCCAGATGGATCCAGACAGGATCATCGAGGCTATTCAGAGAGAGCTTAGTTGGGTGTGATGGCGTACACTTGTGATCCCAGCACTGAGGAGGCTGAGGCAGGAGGATTGCTGTGAGACCAGCCTAGGCTACATAATTAATTCAGGGCTACTCTGAATTACAAAGTGAGATCTTAGATCTTGTCTCAAAAAAAAGAGCTTGAAGTCACTGTTATAACCTCCATGGTAGACTGCTCGTTAACTGGAACTTGCTCAAAGCATTGCTGCCGCCCCTGCCCCTTCCCCCCCCCCCGTACTGGGGATTGAACCCAGGGCCTTTGCACTGAGCTAAAGCCCTAGCCCGTTTATGTATGTATGTATGTATGTATGTATTTATGTACTGGGGATCGAACTCAGGACCTTGTGCTTGTGAGGCAGGTGGCAGAACCACTGAGCTAAATTCTTGGCCCCCCCTTTTAATTTTGAGACAGTCTTGCTGAGTTGCCCAGGCTAGGGCTCAAACATTTGAAACAGGGTCTCGCTGCTCCTCTGGCTGGCCTCAGACTTCTGGCCTGAAGTAACCCTCCCACCTCAGCCTCCTGACCAGCAGAGACTATAGGTACCGCTGTCACACCCAGTATCCAGTTATTTTCTTTTTGTTTTTTGAGATAGGGTCTCACTATGTAGGTTAGGCTGGCCTTAAACTCCCTATGTAGTCCAGGGTAGCCTTGGAACTTGACTCGATCCTCCTGCCTCAGCCTCCTGAATGCTGGATTACTGGTGTGTGCTACCACGCTTGGCCAGTATCCAGTTTTAAGAGTTGCTTAATGGAAGTTTCTCAAAATTTTTATCACAGAGCCCCTTTGCATAGCTCTGAAGAGCTTCTGTTTATGTGGGGATGAATATAAAATATTAGAAAAATATTCATTACTTTAAAAATGAAAAAGTATTACATGTTAATTTCTCAAAAAAATTATTGTTTTGCAAAACAAAAAAGGAGTAGCATTGTTTCACAATCCTACAGGTGTCTCAGTAGCTAAATCATCTGGACTTGTAGCTGCTTCTGATTGCAGTCTGCTGTGATCATCTGAAGGATTTCAAAAATGTGGGCCTGGGATTTAGCTCAGTGGTTTCCCTGCCTACTGCGTAAGCGCAAAGACCCAAGTTCAATTCCGGTACAAAAAAACCACAAAAAAACAAGGATTTCAAAAATGTGAGGTTGGAAAGGACGCCCCTGAAGACTGGACTGACTGGCAGAAGAATCAGCTAAGCAGGTTCTCATACTTCATGACTGAGTGCTCTGGGTTAGGCACCAAGGGTCAAGGTCCTTTTGCTCAGTGCCTTCTAGAATTTAAAAAATAACCAACAGTGTGAAGCAATAAAGGCGAGGGACTGGGCTGGGGCAGTGGTTACAAGGCAGTGACTCACCCACTGTGCTGGGGGCATCCACAGAGCAGCATTCTCCATTCCAAGAACTCCAGGAGGTGTGTTAGTGGTGGGGACCACGTCCCAGGTGGCTTTCCTCTGCTCTATTTCTGTGTGATTACCACATGCACTGGCCTCTGCACTGGTCAGCTGAGACTGCATGTTGACTCACTAAGAATGGCAGCTCGGTTCTCAGAGCGACCCAGGAGGAACAGCACCTGCACACTGGCTCACACTGTTCTATCTTCCTGGGACTTGACGTTAAGTGGCTGCCTGCCCAATAAGATACTAAAGTATGGTAACCAGCTCACTGGCTAGCCTGCTGGCGTGAGTATTCCGATTCTGGTGTGGATGGCAGTGAGCGCTCCATGGCCACAAACCCACATGGTTCCTCTCAGAAACCATGGACACGTGTGGCCAGTAAGGGGTCAGGCGAGATGGGCTGGAGCACACAGGCAAGGCATCATCAAGATCTCCCAGGCAGCTGGGGATTTAGGTCAGTGGTTCTGGCGCCTGCCTTGCAAGCGCAAGGTCCCAAGTTCGATCCCCGGTACCAAAAAAAAAAAAAAAAGATCTCCCAGGCTAAGTGATCTGCTAATTAGGCACCCAGTTATCCACAGCACTGGAAAGGAAGAGAAAGTTAACAGGAATTAGTTTGAGAAACATTAATGGTTTTTGTTTTTAATTTAATTTTATTTTTTGGTACCAGGGATCAAACTCAGGACCTTGCACTTGCAAGGCAGCCTCGGTGCCACTGAGCTAAATCCATGGCCCTGTTTTTATTTTTTTTCAAGACAAGGTCTCACTGTGTAGTTCAGGCTGGCTTTGAACTCACTTTGTAGCCTAGGCTGGCCTCAAACTCACAGGGATCTTCCTGCCTCAGCCTCCTGAGTGCTTAGATTACAGGCATGCCCCTACTACTCCTGGCCTTTGCTTTGTTTTCTTTGTTATTGTGGTACTGAGGATTGAACCCAGAACATTTTTGCTGAGCTACATCCCCAGCCCTTTTTCTTATTTTGAGATAGGGTCTGAGTGACTGAGTTGCCTAAACTAGGCTTGAATTTGAAATACTGCCTCAGCCTTTCAGAGTGCTGGGATTGCAGACCTGCTGGTTCTTTTTTTTTTTTTTTGGTCCTGGGGATCGAACTCAGGACCTTCTGCTTTCGAGGCAGGTGGCAGCACCACTGAGCTAAATGCCTGGCCCCTGGTTCTTATTTTTTGAGTTAGCAGTATATGCATGTTACTAAATACAACAGGGCATAATTTAAAACAGATTTTTGTATTGCCTTCAAGCTAAGAGTGACGAGGCAATAGGTGGCCCACAAAGCTAAAATATTTACCATCTAGCAGGTCATTTGCTGATCCTTGGTCTTTCAGTAACTCTATCATGCCTGTTAACCAGTCACCCTTTCATTGCAAATTCCTAACTGGAACCACTTCCTTCTGTTTTTCCTAATGTGGGTCAGTTTGAGATGGGATCCCTCTCCCATACTGGGGATCAAACCTATCTAGGGCCTTTGCACTGAGCTACATCCCTAGCCTTTTAAAATTTTTAAATTTTTCAGATAGTATCTCACTAAGTTGCTTAAATTGCCCAGGGTGGACTCAAAATTTGTGATTCTCCTGCCTCAGCCTCCCAGAACTCTGGGATTACAGGCATGAACCACTGCACCTGGCTGGATTTTCACTTCTTCTGAGCACTACTGTGACTTGAAATATGGATAAATTTTAAAATGTGGTGGCCCTAAAAAAAACCTCTTAAATTAGATTTGACCCTAGTGAAAGGGTGGGTAGCTAGGTAGATTTGGGACATTTTCCTCCTAGCTTTTGATTTTGAGAATTTTCAAACAAAAATTTAAAAATTTGTTACAGTGGATTACCTACATGCCTGCTACTTGATACATGAATATTTTGTCATGTTTATATTTCTCTGTGAGACCTTGGAAGTTGCCATATGATATTCCTTCCATGTGTTCATCATATTTTTCCTGAAAATGACATTCTCAGCAAGCCACAGTAGTGCACAACCGTAATCCCAGCTACTTGGGAGGCTGAGACAGGAGTAACGCACTGGAGGCCACTGCAGGCAATTTTGGCCAGGGCCTGTCTCAAGATAAAAAGGGCTCAGTGGTAGAACACTTACCTAGCATGCATGAAGCCCTGGGTTCAATCCCCAGTACCAAAACAATACACACACACAAAATACACCAATAATCTCAGAACTCTGGGAGGTTGAAGCAGGAAGATTGCAAGTTCAAGCCTACCTGGGGCTTAATTACTGTGTGAGACCCTATTTCAAATAAAAAATGGCTGGGGATGTACCCCTGTGGGAAGGCCTTGGGTTCAGTCCCCAGTACTTCAAAAATGCAAGCCAAACCATGTTAACCAAATTATTGCCACACCAAGCAATAATTCCATAGTGTAAATCCACATTCAGATTTTCCCAGAATGCAATTGATAGTTTTACCTCCCCTCCCACACCAACTAGGACCTAATTAAAATCTATTAAGTGCATTTCATTGTTAGGGTTCTTTAGCCTCTTTAAATTCCTTCATTCTCGGGCCAGGGATTTAGCTCAGTGGTTTTTGCCGCCTGCCTTGCAAGCGCAAGGACCCAAGTTCAATCCCCGGTACCAAAAAAAAAGAAAAAAAAT